ATTGTCACCGCCTCCTCGGTCTTCCACTTCGTCTGTGTCTCTTTCCATACTTGTCAGTGTAGTAGGAGGTGGTGTCGGTCTCCTCGGTTGTCATGCTGGTCGACTCGGTGCCTGTTAGACAGGAAGAGGAAGAAGACATTGCATCAGTGTGACAACGTGTCCCGTGACAATTGTCACTCTACTCAGCAATATCACACACTCACCAGTTCAAATGACCCATATCATAACACAACAAATCATCACATTCATACACGAAACACAACATTCAATTGAATCTGGCATCGATCAACTCACTCTCAATGGAAACTGATGCATCGACAACACTGACCATTCTCCAGTCACAACAATCACATCATTCCATTGATCAGATGGATAAAGTCACACCAGTGTCATCCAACTGACACTCAGACCGTCAGGTGTTTGTCATTCACACGACCAAACATTCAGTCAAATAATAAGAGACACAAACACTCAGACTGATGTGCACATTTCACATGAACCAGTCTCATTCCTTACAACGTGAGAGCAAACTCACCTGAAGATGTCGGTGTGGTTCGCCTCCTCGGTCTTCCACTTCGTCTGTGTCTCTTTCCATATTTGTCAGTGTAGTAGGAGGTGGTGTCGGTCTCCTCGGTTGTCATGCTGGTCGACTCGGTGCCTGTTAGACAGGAAGAGGAAGAAGACATTGCATCAGTGTGACAACGTGTCCCGTGACAATTGTCACTCTACTCAGCAATATCACACACTCACCAGTTCAAATGACCCATATCATAACACAACAAATCATCACATTCATACACGAAACACAACATTCAATTGAATCTGGCATCGATCAACTCACTCTCAATGGAAACTGATGCATCGACAACACTGACCATTCTCCAGTCACAACAATCACATCATTCCATTGATCAGATGGATAAAGTCACACCAGTGTCATCCAACTGACACTCAGACCGTCAGGTGTTTGTCATTCACACGACCAAACATTCAGTCAAATAATAAGAGACACAAACACTCAGACTGATGTGCACATTTCACATGAACCAGTCTCATTCCTTACAACGTGAGAGCAAACTCACCTGAAGATGTCGGTGTGGTTCGCCTCCTCGGTCTTCCACTTCGTCTGTGTCTCTTTCCATATTTGTCAGTGTAGTAGGAGGTGGTGTCGGTCTCCTCGGTTGTCATGCTGGTCGACTCGGTGCCTGTTAGACAGGAAGAGGAAGAAGACATTGCATCAGTGTGACAACGTGTCCCGTGACAATTGTCACTCTACTCAGCAATATCACACACTCACCAGTTCAAATGACCCATATCATAACACAACAAATCATCACATTCATACACGAGACACAACATTCAATTGAATCTGGCATCGATCAACTCACTCTCAATGGAAACTGATGCATCGACAACACTGACCATTCTCCAGTCACAACAATCACATCATTCCATTGATCAGATGGATAAAGTCACACCAGTGTCATCCAACTGACACTCAGACCGTCAGGTGTTTGTCATTCACACGACCAAACATTCAGTCAAATAATAAGAGACACAAACACTCAGACTGATGTGCACATTTCACATGAACCAGTCTCATTCCTTACAACGTGAGAGCAAACTCACCTGAAGATGTCGGTGTGGTTCGCCTCCTCGGTCTTCCACTTCGTCTGTGTCTCTTTCCATATTTGTCAGTGTAGTAGGAGGTGGTGTCGGTCTCCTCGGTTGTCATGCTGGTCGACTCGGTGCCTGTTAGACAGGAAGAGGAAGAAGACATTGCATCAGTGTGACAACGTGTCCCGTGACAATTGTCACTCTACTCAGCAATATCACACACTCACCAGTTCAAATGACCCATATCATAACACAACAAATCATCACATTCATACACGAAACACAACATTCAATTGAATCTGGCATCGATCAACTCACTCTCAATGGAAACTGATGCATCGACAACACTGACCATTCTCCAGTCACAACAATCACATCATTCCATTGATCAGATGGATAAAGTCACACCAGTGTCATCCAACTGACACTCAGACCGTCAGGTGTTTGTCATTCACACGACCAAACATTCAGTCAAATAATAAGAGACACAAACACTCAGACTGATGTGCACATTTCACATGAACCAGTCTCATTCCTTACAACGTGAGAGCAAACTCACCTGAAGATGTCGGTGTGGTTCGCCTCCTCGGTCTTCCACTTCGTCTGTGTCTCTTTCCATATTTGTCAGTGTAGTAGGAGGTGGTGTCGGTCTCCTCGGTTGTCATGCTGGTCGACTCGGTGCCTGTTAGACAGGAAGAGGAAGAAGACATTGCATCAGTGTGACAACGTGTCCCGTGACAATTGTCACTCTACTCAGCAATATCACACACTCACCAGTTCAAATGACCCATATCATAACACAACAAATCATCACATTCATACACGAAACACAACATTCAATTGAATCTGGCATCGATCAACTCACTCTCAATGGAAACTGATGCATCGACAACACTGACCATTCTCCAGTCACAACAATCACATCATTCCATTGATCAGATGGATAAAGTCACACCAGTGTCATCCAACTGACACTCAGACCGTCAGGTGTTTGTCATTCACACGACCAAACATTCAGTCAAATAATAAGAGACACAAACACTCAGACTGATGTGCACATTTCACATGAACCAGTCTCATTCCTTACAACGTGAGAGCAAACTCACCTGAAGATGTCGGTGTGGTTCGCCTCCTCGGTCTTCCACTTCGTCTGTGTCTCTTTCCATACTTGTCAGTGTAGTAGGAGGTGGTGTCGGTCTCCTCGGTTGTCATGCTGGTCGACTCGGTGCCTGCTAGACAGGAAGAGGAAGAAGACACTGCATCAATGTGACAACGTGTCCCGTGACAATTGTCACTCTACTCAACAATATCACACACTCACCAGTTCAAATGACCCATATCGTAACACAACAAATCATCACATTCATACACGAAACACAACATTCAATTGAATGTGGCATCATTCAACTCACTGCCAATGGAAACTGATGCATCGACAACACTGACCTTTCTCCAGTCACAACAATCACATCATTCCATTGATCAGATGAATAAAGTCACACCAGTGTCATCCAACTGACACTCAGACCGTCAGGTGTTTGTCATTCACACGACCAAACATTCAGTCAAATAATAAGAGACACAAACACTCAGACTGATGTGCACATTTCACATGAACCAGTCTCATTCCTTACAACGTGAGAGCAAACTCACCTGAAGATGTCGGTGTGGTTCGCCTCCTCGGTCTTCCACTTCGTCTGTGTCTCTTTCCATATTTGTCAGTGTAGTAGGAGGTGGTGTCGGTCTCCTCGGTTGTCATGCTGGTCGACTCGGTGCCTGTTAGACAGGAAGAGGAAGAAGACATTGCATCAGTGTGACAACGTGTCCCGTGACAATTGTCACTCTACTCAGCAATATCACACACTCACCAGTTCAAATGACCCATATCATAACACAACAAATCATCACATTCATACACGAAACACAACATTCAATTGAATCTGGCATCGATCAACTCACTCTCAATGGAAACTGATGCATCGACAACACTGACCTTTCTCCAGTCACAACAATCACATCATTCCATTGATCAGATGAATAAAGTCACACCAGTGTCATCCAACTGACACTCAGACCGTCAGGTGTTTGTCATTCACACGACCAAACATTCAGTCAAATAATAAGAGACACAAACACTCAGACTGATGTGCACATTTCACATGAACCAGTCTCATTCCTTACAACGTGAGAGCAAACTCACCTGAAGATGTCGGTGTGGTTCGCCTCCTCGGTCTTCCACTTCGTCTGTGTCTCTTTCCATATTTGTCAGTGTAGTAGGAGGTGGTGTCGGTCTCCTCGGTTGTCATGCTGGTCGACTCGGTGCCTGTTAGACAGGAAGAGGAAGAAGACATTGCGTCAGTGTGACAACGTGTCCCGTGACAATTGTCACTCTACTCAGCAATATCACACACTCACCAGTTCAAATGACCCATATCATAACACAACAAATCATCACATTCATACACGAAACACAACATTCAATTGAATCTGGCATCGATCAACTCACTCTCAATGGAAACTGATGCATCGACAACACTGACCTTTCTCCAGTCACAACAATCACATCATTCCATTGATCAGATGGATAAAGTCACACCAGTGTCATCCAACTGACACTCAGACCGTCAGGTGTTTGTCATTCACACGACCAAACATTCAGTCAAATAATAAGAGACACAAACACTCAGACTGATGTGCACATTTCACATGAACCAGTCTCATTCCTTACAACGTGAGAGCAAACTCACCTGAAGATGTCGGTGTGGTTCGCCTCCTCGGT